CCACCCCACCACCCACCACCATTTTTTGTAGCAGCGGCTGCAGATTACCCAGTGTGATAATCCTCCTATTCCTTGGAACTATTCAGGATTGCAGAGATTATCTGGCCTCATTTGCTTATGGAGCCAGCTTTGGGAAGCCCAATTTTAGTCTCTTAAGGGTCTCAGGATTTTGCATCCCGACAGCTTTGACTAATTAGCATCCATCAGCAGGTGGTGTTTTACCAGTGGGCTCACTTTTAGCAAATTCTGTGCGCACGCGCGCGCGCACGCACACACACACACACACACTCACACACATACACACACTCACACACATACACACACACACATTGGTTCTGATGTATTTGTTGGGACTCTGGTGCAATCTATCCCGCTATCTTTAAAAAACAAAAACCCTTAACCCAGTGTCATCTTCAAAATAAACAGAGAAAAACAATTGTTCTAAATTAATAGTTTATTACAAATATCAGTAAATATTTTACAAACATCAAGAATACCAACGATGAGCAGCTTTACGTTATTTACATATTTTATTCAACGACTCAAATAAAGAATATGATGACACGTACTTGACTAAATCAAGCTCTATTTCAACATTAGATTATTTAGTAATATAAATATTAAATCAGAATGTGGGGTTAGCTAACCGTAACGCAGGATTAAACTCAATAATACAAACACTTTCAGGGTACAGAGGCATTCAGGCCCAGGTGGAGCCCTGCCTGTGGCTGCATGTTGGACCATGGCCAGTACAGTCTGGGGGTCAAGCAAAACAAAGGAAGTGTGGGGGTCTGAGGACAGCACCAACAAGCCACCCTGTGAGGACGGTGTGTGAGGGCAGAGGCAGGGTGGTAGGGAGAGGTCAGGGAAGCGAGGCGGAGCTGCCCCGCCACCCTCCGTGCCTTCCTCCGTGCCCTGCGGCAGTGGTAGTTCCCTTCCGAGAAGTCCTGGTAGTTGGCGGGGTGGATGGCCCAGAAGTGGCCTTTCCCGTTGTCGCTCCGACCTGCTTTGATGAAGCAATCGTTCAGGGACAAGTTGTGGCGCACACTGTTCCTCCAGTTTTTATCCTGTTGGAGCGAGAGAGGGGGAAAAAAGGCAAAGTACATTAGGTCCGAATCAGAACCCGAAAGCGAACAGGAGCGAAACGACGATTCCAAATAAGTCGCGAGGCCGTTAAGCATCAGTGATCCGCTTTACTGCGTCACCCTTTCCTGTTGTTGGCAGCGTGCATTGTTGTGTGTCAAGAATGTGTATGATCACAGTTGCACACAACACCCCGAGTTACCTTTTTAGCACATCAGCTAGCGATCAACTTTAATCCACCACGGGCTACTTCCAATCTGTTGTTGCACCTGGTGAAGGCAGAGASAGTTTGAAACCTAGCAACAGGATTACTTTATTTGTGAATTTGCCAAMAAGAAGATCATCTTCTGCCCCTGTTAGGACCTAATAGCCTAACCACTCAGACTGATTACCTCTGCCAACTAGGTCATCTTGCTTAAGAAACGGGTATCATTTTTTAGTGATCGAGATTTGAAAGTTTACATTGTTGCAAAGGCACGCAGTCGTCTTCGTCAAGCTTGACATCTGTCGTCCTTCACAAACAGTACAGCTCTTGTCTCCACACATCTTACTAGAAAATACAATAAATATATAAGAAGGATGACTTGGTCTAAGCGTACCTTACTCTTGAAGTAAGGGTAGTGGTCCATGATCCACTGGTAGATGTCACACAGAAGCAGTTTCTTCTCCTCAGATGCCAGGATGGCCTTGGAGATGAGGGCGATGTACGACTGGTTGGGTTTGTCCTGGAGCTTCTCTGACTCAAAGCTGCTGGATGTGGTGGTGGTGGTGGTTAYCTCCTCCTCCCCCTCCTCTTGTTGTTGTTCTTCATCACACTCCTCTTCTCGGGCGTTGCTTTTCTCACCGCCTGCCTCTGACTTCTCGGATTGCTCCCCTGATGTCTGACCGTGACTCTCCGCCTCTTCGGGCTCAGGATCCCGGCGGTTTAGCATGTTGTTGTCTGTCCCGTCTGCCGCAGCACTTCCTGTCACTTCTACTGTAGAACCTTTGACCCCTCCGTTGAACAGAAGGTAGTCAATCGTGAAGCTCAGTCCAAGCCTGTCTCTGTTTCCGCCGTGGCTGCTCCTACTCTCCATTTTCATTTCCGAATTAAGATACTTTTGACTCATTGCAGATGTTTTGTTGGCTCCACGCCGAAAGTTTGGGTTTTTAAGCAACAAATAAAAAGGTTTAAAAAAATCTTCTCAGAGTTGTGAGTTTGAGTTTTGCAGCATGGCTCTTTTTTTTCTGATTGATTTTTGTTTCTTTAAAAATAGGAACCCTAATAAAGGAATGCCTCTTGAATCTTTCGCTGAAGTCTTACGGTTGACAAGATCACAGATAAAGATGAGCCTTTAACCTGTTGTTAACCTTGATGCGCTCACGCCTGACACGTTTGCGAGCTGTGGAAGTGACGTCAGTCTATAAGACCAAACACGCCTGCGCTGTTCGCTAAAAGTAGAAGAAGAAAAAATTGAAATGTTTTGGCCCCTCTGGTAAAACCTATGAATAAAAGCCTATCTCTGCATTGTGCTTCAGAGCTGTAAAGTGAAGTCGTGTCTCTRTTTATATAACTGTGAACTTATCCCTCACAGAAAGGGTCAAAGACGGCACAGCGGATGTCCAGGTAGGGGGTCTCAATTGAGGCAGATTATTTTTTATTAACCTTAGCAAATCTTTGTAATTACGGGAGATTAAACACTCAAGATTTAGAAAGACGTGGTAAGACTGAATACAGTAGAATCAAAGAGCTTCAGATGCCTGGGTTATCTTGTTTAATTCGTTAGGCATAAGWTATTGTCCAAAGAATTACTTCAGTTACAATTTAAGGATTTCAGCCATTTTTCTTCATTAAAACACCACAAACAAATTTAACACAAAAGTGACAAAGGAGTTTGCTTATATGAATTTTTTATAAATTGCATTTTTGTGAAATTTATTCCCATTTTTATCAGTTATTAGCAAATAAATATTTCAGTAGTTTGTCATCTTTGATATGCAACACTCAGTTGGTTTAGAAACACAAATATATTCAAATTATAAATACTATATACTATATGTACTAAATAATTATAATGCTTTAATGTTGCTCTGTAATTCAGTACATTTAACAACTCATTTGCTTTGAGTAAAAACATTTTCAGTTTAGTATTTTATGCACTTTAAGATAAATTTTACTTTTGAATACAATCATTTATGGGTTTTGACTGAAGAAAATGTTGGGACAGAAATAAAT